GCATTTAGTTAGTCAAATGACAAAAAATAAATAGGGTACAATTATGAAATCTAAAAAATTTGAGGGCATAGAAACCAAATGTTTACACATGAATAATGATATGGGCTCAGGCCGTAAGACCATGTTGATCAATTCAAAACAATGAAAAAACACATAGCATATGACATTCCAACAAGAAAAAACACAAATTTAAAAGTAAAAGAATATCAGAGGAATAAAACATTCTACTTACAAAAACTTGGTTGAGAAAATGAATATAAAATATCATCTTTTATGTCGTCGTTGATCAAATGACATATACAAAAGTTGTTTTTTTTTATTGAAAAGAGAAAAATATGACATTTTTTAAGTTTATTGCTAAGACATCATTAGTCCATTACGACAAAAGCCACGTCGGAAAAGTGAACACTTTACACTAAAACGACCTCGTGAAACCTAAATATGATATATTCGTGTAAAATAATATTTTTTCCGTGTCAAAATATAATTGTTTTACATGTTTTTTTATGTTTCAAAGTATAAATTGATTTGATAATCTTAAATATTTTTTAATTTTATTGACTATTGTGTGATCAATAATATTTTGCAGTTATTTTTTTATTCGTTAAATTATTTTTATTATATATATAAAATAATACTTTTCAAAAAAAAAAAATTATTAATATTCATATTTTTAGTCAAATCAATTTATATTTATATTTTGAAACGGAGTGAATACTCCTTTAAATATAATCATAATTAATGACCATATGTTACGTCATTATAAACTAATTGGGCTAGTTAAGCCCATTAATTTTGTTCGGTTCACCGAGAAAAAAGATCACTAGAGCCGTTGAGGATTACCGTTACATTACTTCGAAATTTGCCTATCAATACGAACCTGAATCCACCTCAAACCCAAAATCTAAAATTTCACTCAAGTTTTCTGTTTTATGTTTGTTCGATAGATCGATCAGGGGTTGATTTCAAAGAGACACAGATAGGTCAACCAGAGATTTATGCTTTGTGTTCAAAGCTCTCAACGATGATCAAGTAAAGTTCTTATCGAAATCAAATTACTTATGCTTTATGCTTTTTGATCAATTTTGCTGACAAAATCGTATTCTTTATGTGAAAGAATCGACTTCTTCTGGTGGGAGACAAAATCGGCTCTTGTTATCAATTCTTCTACATTATGTCGAACACGACCAAATTACCAATCTCAATTTGAAATTAAACTTGTGTCTTTTTTTATCGAATCTGAGAGTTTTAGTTAGTCATTTAACAGAGGTTATATAGGATTATAAATATTTATTTACAATGATTACATCATATGTTAAGTTAAGAAGCGATTTAGATTTATTATAAAGCGACGATCTTGGTATGAATATGAAGGTTCCTTTTAGTAAAGCAGAGTAACAGGTATATCTTCAAAGTGTATATAATTATTTAAGAGAAATTTTAAAAAATATCACTTTTCAAGTGTCACTTTACAAAAATACCACACTTTTGAAATTTTTACAAAAATATTACTTTTTCAAAATTATTTTTTCTTTATATTATTTATGTTTGGGTTAATTATGTTCTATTATTGTTTAGTTATAAGGGTTTAGGGGGTTTTAGAGGTCAAAACATTTTTTAGGGTTTAAAATTTTAAAATATAGGCTTTATAAATCGATAATTAGTGGTATTTTTGCAAATGGACACCTCTAAGTGACATTTTTACAAATATGCACACAAAAAGTGACATTTTTGTAATTGACCCATTATTTAAAGTAGAGTAACAGATATATCTTCAGAGTAAATCATTTAATTTTTTTTAGTTAATTTGGTAATCATATATATGTATAATTAAAGATTTTCGATTGCTTATTTATTTAATTCACAACTTATCACTTACCAAACTATTTTTTTTTTTTTGTATTGCTAAATTTAGCTAAATAAATTTAAGTAATTCACATTATTGTAAAAATTAACCGAACATAGAATCATGTCATTTGATAAGTCATTTGATCGTTAGAAGTGCCATAAGTTCAACTTGTTTTCACAATTACGTAAATTATTTAAGTTTTTAGGTAATCTTACAATCTATAATTTATGTGTGGATATGTAATCAAAGAATTTTTATTATTTATCTTTTTATTCACAACTTGCCACATCTACCTTCTAAAACTTTTTTTTTTTTTGTAATCTGATATCAATATTTTTTTGTTTAAATAGATAAACTATATTGATAGGCGTAAAAAATTTGATCAACCAACTTATATATATGTCCCGGTCATGTTAATTCCACAACAAGCTTTATTATATAACAAACCACCCACCTACTTCAATTTTGTTTGTTAAACAAAAAAAACACAAACCACCTAACTTCGCTACTCAGTGAGAGAATCCAACCAAACAAAAACAAAAACTAAGAACTTCATGATTAAACATTAACTGTCCTCTGCTCCGATGCAAGATTTACGATCGTACATTCATCATCCAATAACGACTTTGATCTCATTTTCTTCACCTCATCACTCGAATATATGAACAACTTCTTCGCCATTTTACAGAACTCACTGCACATTCAATAGAGCAATAGAGTATGTCTTTTATAAAACTAT